AACCTGGGCACGGGCGCCGGCAAGGGCGAGCTGGAGAGAGCCTTCAGCTACTACGGGCCGCTGCGCACCGTGTGGATCGCGAGGAACCCGCCGGGGTTCGCCTTCGTGGAGTTCGAGGACCCGAGGGATGCCGAGGATGCAGTGCTTGGACTCGATGGAAAGTATGTGCATGCTTAAACCCCGCCCTTGGCTGCTGTGGCAGCATGCGCTGACCTCCTTGTTTACAACTTACCTGTGTATGAAGCACAGAAATGAAAAGTGCTTTTGCAACTAATGCATATTGTGTCTTCCAGGATAATATGTGGCTCCAGGGTTAGAGTGGAAGTGTCAACAGGGATGCCCCGTCGCTCCCGTTATGACAGGCCTCCGGCACGGCGCCCTTTTGACCCCAATGACAGATGCTATGAGTGTGGCGAGAAAGGCCACTATGCTTATGATTGCCATCGCTATAGTCGCCGAAGGAGGAGCAGGTACGTGTGGGACTAGAGTGACTGGTTGTTTTGCCAGTTAGCTCTTAATGTAGCTCTTGATAGTAAAGAAGAGAATGTTACGGCAGTTTTAACTCTTAATGTTGTAAATCAACAGGTGTATATCACAATTTTTTGCTAATACATATCGAATGTTAATATCTTAATAATCAACCTGGTCAAAACCTTTCAGGTTTCTTCGTTTGAGTCAGTCGCCTTGATTCAGAATGTCACGAGCCTTAAGATTTCATGCTGAGGCGCCTTGCAAATCCGACACTTAAGATCCTCCTAGACCTTGAGGTGATCAGCATAAGAGGCCAGATCCCCTCGAGCCATCTACACGTAGCTTCACCTTATTCTTTAAGGGCAGAAAATTTGAGACGGTGATCGCCGTAACAGTAAATTTGGCTTTCAATTGGGGCCCCCCCTCCGGTTTAGAAAGAGGAACACCAGATTGACCACATTCCCACCTAGAAAAATCTTCTTGCGTCAATCAAGCCTCACCCTGGCTCATTGGGCTGTCAGTTTGATCGTCGTTAGATTGAAGAGAACACCTAGATGCAGCGATCGGCTATAGATACTTCTAGATCGTCTAGATCTGCTAGACCTTGGGCCAAAGAGGGTCGACCTGCAAACTTGCAAGGTTTATTTTAAATACACATTACAGTGTTTTCTATTCTAATGTAATTCTGCAATGTAATACAGCTTTTAACATTTTTCTAGGTAGTAAAAATGCTCAAGACAAGTAGGCCCAGGCATTTTTCCAACTGACAGATACTAGTTTTTGATTTTTTTTTTTTTCTTGTCTGAAAGTTTTGACTTCAGCAGAGGTTCACATGCACAGATTGCCGTGACTGTTTTCTGATACCTGTTTTCTCTAACCTAAAACTAGGTCCCGGTCTCGATCCCGGTCAAGGTCCCGAGGAAGAAGGTATTCTCGGTCACGCAGCCGTAGTCGTGGTAGGAGGTATGCTTTGGGCTTGTGGGTTGTTTTAGTTTTTTTTTTTTTTTTTTTTTTGCTTCTCGCAGTATTCTGTACCAAAAGTACTTTGTAATAAATTGGGGTTTCCTTCTTTTTGTAGGTCAAGATCAGCTTCTTATCGCAGGTCCAGGTCCATCTCTCCTCGTAGGTATAGATCATTTTCACCCCGCAGATCACGATCTGGTTCTTTGAGGAGATCAAGGTAGGCATTACGTGTCAGGTTGTAGGTCTATAACAATTTTGAAGCGAGTCACAATAACACTTAAGTTTGTATGTTGTGTTCTTTGTGTCCCCAGGAAGCTTTATGGAAGTAGGATTTGTTTTTCTCTAGTTAGCATGTGCTTAAAAGTTTAGACTAGCTGTTGAGCTTTTTGGCACGTATCATTGTTAGTGTTAAGACTTACCTATGGTTAAAAACTGTTATTTTAGTTATAAGCATGCGGTTGGTAATTGTATATGCTTAAATAGGGCAAAAGGATTTCTTGTACATATAGTTTTACAGAGCAAGTCTATTACAATATTTTAATAATACAAGGTTACTTATGTAAGAAGGATAGTTGGTATTTACTTGAGTTGTGTTGTAGGATATCAGCTGTATGAATTTGGTAGCTGAGTTTTCACTGCTCTTTCTAGGTCTAGGTCCAGGTCACGCTCAAGATCCCGGTCTGTTGTCTGGCCCCGAAGCAGGTAAGATACTTGGCTTTGATTCAGACCAGTAAGGGTATCCCTCCAAACACCAGGAAATTAGGTTCAGAGTTGTAACAGTTTCGCAGCATAGCAATACTTACTGCAATAACTTGTGTTTTTTGGGTCTGCTTTTGTGGTATGTTTCCTTTAATAAACAATTGTCTTAGTCTGTGGTTAGGTGTCTGTCTATGTACATATGTAGTTGCAGCCTTAAACAAAGTGTGATTTACAGAAAGGTAAGAGAAGTCTTGTGGAGAGAAGCGGTGGAAACTGATTGTGCTTAGAGAATGCTTGAACTCATGTCCTGTGGGAAGTTAGCTAAATCCCATAACACTGCCTAGTGTTGCCTTGCAAATTCTACACACTGAGAGGTGGTGGTAAGATTCCAACTAGTACATGAATTCTTGCTTTACGGCTAAGAAAGTTCTGACAGTTCTGGGAACTGGATAGAGTTTTTTTTAACTGTGTTGTTGCATGGGGTAAGTCACCTAGCTTGGGAGATTTAGACACTAGAACAGAGAGGAAAACTGTGAGTCTTGGTGCTTTGAGAGACTGTTCTGACATGTCCTGTTTTTTCTGGACCTAGATGCCTGCTGTGGCCTCTGGCTGGCAGGCTGGAATAGAAGATAAGAAATTGGGAGTAAATGCTCTTTTATTGTCCTCTGTGATGAGCCTTTCCTTGAAAGAAGGGTGAAAAGAGTAGAATAAGAATACTCTAGGCCTGATACCTGACAAATTGGGAGAAACTTCCTTACGGATTTGTCCGGGGAAGAGAAGAGGCCAGCTCTTAATGGTGTGCATGCCACTGGTTGACATGTGTTGAACCTTTAAGGAGGTGATTGTTTTATTAATGCTGTCACGATTGACTACAGTGCTGTAATGTAGATAAGCCAGGCTCAATTTGCATGCTGCTGGTTTAGAAAAATCTAAATACTGCTAGGATGCTTTAGTGATTATTAGTTTTGATATTGACATGGAAATTTCTGAGGAATATTGACTTAAGTTTGCAGTTTCACTGTTCAGAAATCGCTAGATAAGGACTGGAATTATGGAAGTTCTGTGGAAAAACTTGTTGCTTCTGTATTAGCCAGTGTTGTTCCTGTGCGAGTACAGCAAAACATTAGTGTACAGTTGTGGTGTTGCTTCTAGAACTGTTGTTTTGTAGTCCTTGCTTTGTTGCTTGCCTCTGGGAATGAGTGCTGATCAACAGTTCCCATAGTAAGATGATGCTTTTGTGTACTGTCTTAAATTTAGTAGTTCTGAACAAAGCAAGCCGTGCTATGACATTACGAAGTTCAGGGTAGACTTGGGCAGTTCTGTATAACTTTGATACAGTAACAAGATTTCTGGTTATGGCGAAAAGTTTCAGGGTGCTTTCAGGGAAGTGTTGCAGGTTATGAGCCAGTATGAGGACTGAGAAGCTTTAGCAGTAATGGAACATTAATCTTAACTTGCTCTAACAGTGTCTGTACAGGAATAAAGTTTCATGTTCTTCTGGTCAGTTCTGTTGAACTAACATGGATGCAAGGTTTGCTGAATTCTGAGGCTGTGGAAGGGGGCAAATGCTAAGTGACCAAGCCTCAGATGTTTGAGTCAGCAGAGCAACATGATGAATATGCAAGAAAGTCTTATTGTAGCTTCTGAGCCATCAAATGAACTGTGGCAATACATTAAGTCATCCTAGTATTTCTGGATTCTAGGATCTAGATTCACAGCATTCAGCTTCTGTTAGATGGTTTTATTGGGGTACTGGAGCCTTAATACTACAATAAAAATGGCACTGAGAACTTGGAACTAAAGAAGTGCTGAAGAACCAATGCATCAAGTCAGTCTTAAAGCGGTGCTACTGAAAGGTTTTCCAGATAACACTTGAAACAGTAGCTTCATATTTTTAGGATGCTTGAAAAACATGCTGGAACCTAGAACAAGTTTTATGAAAGTGGTAGCCAGAGCTTTTGAGGAGTTGGTTGAGCCTGTAGTGTTTTCTGGCAAGTGGGCTCTTTAGAGCTAAAGGAACCTTCTGCAAAATCCTGAGAAAAGCCTGCAGTGCTGCAGTCTTCCTCTGTGTGATGCTATGTAATGTAAATTTGCTGTTGCTGATTTGGCTAACTTTCATTATATGTGCATGCCACTGGCTGCTTTGCTGAGCTTTATTTTTCTCCTGTTGTAGGTCTGGGTCCCATGGTAGATCTAAATCTGGCTTACCTGCTAAAAGGTGAGCGTGATTATAACAAGCACTCAGTTTTGTTTTGTGGGTTTTTGTTTGTGTCCAAGTTCTCCCCACTCACATCACATGGTGCAGACTGTCCTTGGGCCAGTTTTTCAGCTGCACTTGGAAGAGCTTTTTTTGTGTGTGGTTTTTTGGTTGGTGTTTTTATTGTTTTTTTTTTCCCATTTTTAATGCAAGGTGAGCTGATCTTTTTGTGGTATGGTAGACTGTTCTTCCCAATGGGATTGGATATCTACCATGTTGTTTCACCCATGACTAATCACAAGTGTTTGCTGGATTTGGGACACAACTCTTCCCTACCCATGCTCTTAGCTGTCTGTAGTTCTTGACTCTTTTTCTTATTTCATATACTGCTCCTGCTTCCAAGGATGATTCTTTACTACTTATTAGCTGCTTTGAAGCTGTGCACTGCCCTCTCCCGAGGATTCCAGTGTTCAGCAGTATTCTTTTTCAACTGCAGCCCTTTCCTTAAAGTGATAAAATTAGGAATACTTGCTTTCTGCGATCTTAGGAATGATACTTTTTATGGATTTTTGGCAGCATCCAGCTATTTACCCTTTTGAAGGGGTCAGGAGTGGTGGCCGAGTGCATAGACTTTTTTATGCATAACTACTGCTACATGTATAGATATCTAAAACATTACATTGATTGAAACTTCTTTATTTTCAGTCGCTCAAAGTCCAGATCACCATCTCCAAAGAGAAGGTAGGAGTATCTTCTAAAATTGCATTGTGCTGTTTGACATGAGCATTAGCAGCTGCAGTGGTTGCTACTGGAACTAACTTGCAAGGATGCAAGCTAAAAACTTTTCCTGTTCTAGTTTAAGTGTAAAATTTTGGGGGGTGTTGCGGAGCTGGTAGTCAGCACTTCATGAATAATAATAAATATTGTTAGAGAAGTGTGGCAACTATATGTCCACTTTTCTTGTTACTGAAGTCTTGTAAAGTTCATTACCTTCTGTAATGAACTTTTTGGAGAACAGCAGAAAATGAAGGCAAATGGGAATCTACAAGCTGCACATTCCTCAAAGAAATTTAGAGTGTGGAGAAGTGGGTAATGGAAGAAATAAAATGGCTCTAAGTACAGCTGGAAAGGGAGTACCAAAGTATTAAGCAAAATGTAAACCATGTGGCAGAACTAAATTCTTGCTGGTGTCATCCTTAAAACTGGCTTTTACCCAGTTGCACAGCTGCCAAGTCCTGCTATGCAACCTAAAGTAAAAAGTAACTTTCCCGTATGTAACCTGAGGTATGTGGTGGAATTCCTGTATTTTGATGTGAATTTGCTCCAAACTAGAAACAAGTAAATCACAACTTATCTTCATCTGGGCAGCACAAGCAACCTTATGAACAGCTGCAGAACAGACTCTAAAGTTGTTCTTTCTGAGCACGCTGGCCATCCAGCCATGTCCTTGTACTAGATTTCTGATTGACCGTTTAAAATAGTTGCTGCTTATATGCTGTATGGGTAATGGGTACAAATTGAAACACAGGAATTTTCATCTCCATATGAGGAAGAACTTATTGTCTGTTAGGATGACAGAGCACTGGAATAGGCTCTGAGGGGTTGTGGAGTCTCCTCCTTGGGAGATACTCAAAACCATGTGGATGTGACCCTGTGTAACATGCCAACATGCTTGGGCAGGGGATTGGACTGGATGATCTCTAGAGGTCCCTCAAACATCAACCATTCTGTGATTCTGTAATGCTTATTTCCAGTACTGACAAAATTCAAATGAAAATCATGTGCAAGTGTGGAAAGGGGAAAAGAATGTGCCTTTCACACCAGGCACAGTGGTGGCACCAGTTCTCTGCACTGGTTGTTTAACAGTGATGAAGCACCTGGGCTAGAATAGATGTTTCTGTTGCTTTTGTTGTGGGATTTAATTTTTCTTCCTCTTTCCTTTCCAGTCATTCACCATCAGGAAGCCCTTGAAAGGAGTGCATGTCCTGAGAGAATGGATTCAAATTAAAAAAGTTAAAGTTTAAAAAGAATTTATTTTGTTTACATTATTATAAGGGATTTTGTGGTGTCTTTATTAATGTAAGGGCTTAGTCCTAGAAGGCTGTTTCTATCAACTAACAATTGGCATGACTCTGGATCTTTTAAGTCTTATTAGTAGACTAATGCAAAATTCTTGTGTTAACGTTCTGTGATCTGGAAATGTTGGGCTTTTTTATTGGCACATTGAAATAAACTGTATTTCTAACGAAGAACTAGTTTGTGATAACAATACTCCTTTTTTAATATGTACCTAAAGCAGGTCATGTGCTGCAAAGTGGAGAAACAGGAATCCAAATAAAACAATTGGAGTCTAGTGCAGCAGCTGCTCATGGATCCTTTGCACTTGTTCTCATTACAGGACTTGCATTTCTTTATCCATACCCCTGATTGGTAGGGTAAAGTGCAGCCAAAAGTAATTGTCATTCTTGTTTACTCAAACAATACATTCTCTGTGTGTTTGATTTGCTTGTGCACTTAAAATTTGACTTCTAGAATTGTTTTTAGAGGGCATTAACAAAATAAAATGGCAGGAAGTTAGGTGTGTGATCTCTGGTGTTCCCTCCCATTGATTAAAGAACTAGTGAGCTTCAGTTGAGCGTGTTTCCAAGTACTTTGGGGATATAAACTTTTTTAGCACTTTTGTCCTCATCCACAATGTTAGTGTTGCTTCCTTTTTATGATGCTAATGCCAGCTTGGCAGTTCTGCTGTGAAAGTTAATACCTTCAGATATATATATTTTTTAAATTCAGCCTTTTCTTGCATGGTAAAAGGTAGTCACAAACAGCTTGTTGCCTTTAACAGTACAGATTAGGAAAACAAAAGTGTTACTCTTGTTACCCTGTTTTATTGACTTAGCTGTAACCATGTGACTTTCTGTAGTCCTGAGCAGTTGTTTTGACTAGATGGACTTTTATATGCAGTCTCACCATGAATAGGTTACTGAAGGATTCAGTACCAGGCTGATGAACTCGTAGTTACACTTGCTAGCTTGATTTGCAATGCACTGAAGGTGACAGGAGTCTTTAAGTTACTTAAAGGATCAAATTGACAAGTGTGTCCTTTCTTCCCTGTAGTGGTATATTTTAGCATGTTGGTGCTCAGCAGGATAAAGGGCTTCTGTTGTTAACAATACTGCTGGCTAGGAGCAAGGTGTTCACCAGCTGGCCTCCCTGTGCACTTGCTTGTAGCCATTAAAGAACTGCATTGTAGTATTTTAAGCCCTTTACTATAAGGGTAGCAGGAAGCAGAGGGGAACCTTGCTGCTGCTGCACTGGCTGAGGGCTAGCAGTGATAAGGGTTTGCATAGTTACCTGTGTAAAAATATATATGAGCACTAAATTGAGCTATAATGCATTTGATCTGTCTACTCTAGGTCTATGTAAATTGTTGAAAGTGTGAACTGAGACCACAACATGATGTAAATGAATTGCTGCTTGCTGGTGATGGCTTGAGGCAGTGCCTAATATATATGAAATAAATCATTCTGTAGAGGCTGACACAAACAGGGTTTGCAGGCTGTCCTCAGCCATGTGGCAGATGCAGGGTAGAGGAGCATGCAGCCTAACACTTGAGGACATGAAAGCAGACACAAAGATATTCCAGAATGCATGGAAGCCAGCCTTGCTTTCAGAGGAAGACAGGGTGCAACTGCCTTGTGTCCTTCCACTGCCTTAGATGCTTCTAATTCTAACCTGTTACCTGATCTGCTGCCTTTGCCCTTATCTCCACTTCAGGGTGTCTTAAATAGGAGAAAATACTTGAGCAGGTGCTGCATAAAGCCTGCTTGAGCTGAGCACTGAGTTCCAGCTGCAACTCACCATTCCCTGATGCTGTACTCTCCTGCAGGAGGATGGCAGCTTTGAAAATTTGGGACCAAACAATGTCTCTGTCTTTACAGCCTACCTGAAAGCAAGGACTGAGTATTTGCTTATTGTTAAGAGTCCCTGCCAGGGCTGGGTCTAGCAAAGTGTCACTTAAGGCCCTGGGCTTGGTGTCTATCTGAAAACATGCAGGACACCCCTCTCAGGTGCTTTAGCATCCCCCTAATAGTACCAGGCTTCAACCATTCTCTGTAGCCAGCAGCTACTATAAAACATCTACTGCAGATTGCAACTATGGTGCTATTGCTCACCTGCTGGTCCTGTAATTTTAAATAGTGGAAAAGTTTATTGGCCTGCTGCACTTGCACATACCTGTAGAGAACATCCTTGTGTGCCCATACTTCAGTCTCAGTGCTCTTCATTTCCCTTTTTCTTTCCTGGGCAAGGGGGTGGTGCTGTGAAATGGTTTCTATAAACCCCTGAGTGTGGTTTTGAAAAAAGCAAACTAGTCACGCACACATAAAAACTGTCTCTGCCTGGTCCTTGCACTTCTGGTTGAAGACTATTTCCAGGCAGGTTTGATGATTGAAATGCTTCTTCACGGTGATTTTTTTTTACTATTATTTCAGATGACAGTAGTCAAACCTTACTCACTTAAGGCACTGGCTATTATTACAAGCAGACCAGCTCTAAGTATGCAAGGTAGAAGGGAAGAAGAGTAATGTTACTACTGCAGCCTTCTCCCCATGCTCTTGTCTGTTCCCTAGAGCAGGAATTTAGATTAGGCAAAGAGAGAAAAAAATATTTTTTATAAACCTTGGCTTCCTTTCAGTTGGATGGGGCGGCAGGGAAACCATCTCCCTCTTGAAGAGTTTAGCAGTAACAGTCTATCCAGGAATTCATTTTTATTAGGCTACAGCAGTCCCTCACTGCTGTTTTGCTCTTTGCACAGTTCGGGGGCCTGAAAAGCAGCCCTTAACGAGGAACCGTTCATCATCTCCTGCAGTTGTACAGCTCAACTGGAAGCCCTCTGTGCTGATCCAACCAGTCACTTCAGCTGCCTGACCCAGGCTTCCACAGTGTCTTCTTGCTAGATGAGGTTTTGTAACTCAATCTAAAACACCTTGAAAAGACTCAAACCTTTTTAAAGCCTTTTGATCCTAATTTCCCACTCAGCCAACAAAGACTACGTCAGTGAAGTTTCACACAAAGAGGAGCGAGCTAAGACCAATCTAGAAGCATCTTACAAAGCAACATGCTGCCTCCAGCCCTTATTATTAAAATCAGCAGCTAAGTAGGTACTTTTTGAGACCAGAAAGCACATTGTCAGCATACTAACTTCTCCATCAAACACTTAATTTTCTTGCTTGG